TTTTTTTTTTTTTTACTCTGACCTGAAGAAATTGTGGTCTGCGGCCGTTTCGTGAATATTTCTGAGGATGTCGGCGTTTCCCAAGGCCTGTTTGGTGGGATGCCGGCTGCCTGATGCAGCAGAATCAGCATTTCGGGTCAAGAAAATTTAGGAAATGCCACCTGTCAGAGCCCACCCACCACCCCATGGAGATGTGCCAGCCCCAGGCCACCATGGTCGCGGTCCCGGTCCCTCGGGGAGGACGCCGATGGCCTTGCTCGCTGCCCGCGGGCCCGCACGGCCTCGAGTCGGGCCCCAGGGAGCATCACATGGTGAAGGATGAGGCGTTGTCGTTGTCCGCGGTCTCGCTGTTCTGCTTGGAGACGAAGGTCTCCGAGTGCAGCCGGGAGCAGGAGAAGCCGGGCGACTTCGGCCTCCTCCGCACGCACAGCAGGTCCTTGGTGATCCTGAGGAAGTAGCTGCGGAACTTCTGGCCAACGAAGGCGTAGAGCACGGGGTTGAGGCAGCAATGCAGGAAGGCCAGCACCTCGGCGCAGTTCTCGGTGTAGCCCATCAGCTTCTCGCCTCGGCAGGTCCGGTCCATCTTCCCCATGTTCACGGCCGTCACCAGGAGCACCATGTTGTGGGGGACCTGGCAGGCCAGGAAGACCAGGACCACGGCGATGATGACGCGGATGGCCTTGTGCCGCCGTTTGGAGTTCTGGGCCTGCACCAGCGTCTTGACGATGAACGTGTAGCAGAAGATCATGAACACCAGCGGGATGAAGAACCCGAAGAGGAGCTGCAGGCCCAGCATCAGCAGCTTCCACCGGATGGGCTCCGAGACCCCGCGGTACCGGGGCTCGCAGACCTCGCTGCCCTGCAGGGTGTACTTCTGGTTGAAGATGAACGTCCAGACGGAGATGAGCAGGGACACGGCCCACACGGCCAGGCAGATGGCCCTGCGGTGCACCAGCGTCCGGGACCGGAGGCGGAAGGACTTGGTGGCCTGGACGATGGCGATGTACCGGTCCAGGCTGACGCAGGCCAGGAGCAGCATCCCGCAGTTGAAGTTGACGGCGTAGATGCCCTTCACCAGCTTGCACAGGGCGTTGCTGAAGACCCACCGGCCGGTGGCATGAGTGGCCGCCCAGAAGGGGAGGGTTAGGACAAACAGGATGTCGGCCACGGCCATGTTCAGCAGGTACACGTCGGTCATGGACTTGGCCTTCTTGTAGAAGGCGAAGGTGATCACCACCAGGACGTTGCCCAGGAGGCCAAAGACGCAGATCAAGGAGTAGGTGACCGGCACAAACAGCCGGGAGAACTCCCTGACCTCCTGCAGGCTGCACGGGGAGGTGTCGTTGTCGGGCACGTAGTCCCCGGTACTGTTGTAGTCGTAAGGGTCGTCGTAGGTCACGGGCTCCTGGAAAAGGGGCGGAGGCACAGTTAGCTGTCGGGCAGCGTTCAAGGGGCCACGGTGAGCCACGCGTCTGCTCCCGGCCCACGCGACGTGGACACTCACCATGTCCATTGCGGTGCTCGTCCCGGGCCCGACGTGGAAGGGAATGGACATCAACCTTGGCTCGCCCACAGAGATAACAGGGCAGGCGTGACCCTAAGCAGGAGAGAAAGAAAAAGACGGAAGTTAAGACAAGAATTCAGGGAGGGCCCGAGAGTCGAGGGCGTGGCCCCCCACCTGACCCGAGCGCACACCCGCGCCCTGCACGAGCTCACCCACCTCCGGCGGGGGCGGGCGCCCTTTCTGGGAAGGGCCAGACAGTGACGCTCTCAGGCTCTGCAGGCCACAGAGTCTGTCACAGCCCTTGAGAGGGGTCCGGGACGGCCACACGGATGCGTGGGCCAGGCCGGATGTGGCGCCGTGGACTGCGACTGGCCACCCCTGACCCGCAGTGTGGGACAAGGGGGATGTCAGCAGGACCACAGGCCGATCCACATACAAGTCTTCACGCAAAATTCAACAGAAGCACCTTCAACGAGATTGTCCTGAACAAAATTTGTGAAAGTAAAGATAGGTCCAAGATATCGATAACGTGCAGTCCTAGCCTGCAAACAGCTTACAGTAGCGCTCGGCGATGCTCACCCGGGGGGCACAGGAGAGTCGCTGACAGGTGCCTTTTCAGAGTTTGAACGTGAGGGTCATTTTCAGGATCTAATAAGACTCCGTGGCCTGGGAAGCCGTAGGAATATACATCTATACCCACATATGTATTTAGCAGCTACGTATATATTTAATGCACACGCGATTTAACAAGCACTCGCCTGTGAGGCAGACACAGCCTAATCCTCAGGAACCAGAGTGGGGGGGTCAGGGTCAGGACAGACCCACGTGGGGCCGCGGAGAATGGCAGCGAAGGGGGGCAGGGAGAGCGTCTCCTGCGGGGAGTAGGGCTCCCCTCGGGCTGAGAAGGAGCACCGAGCCCTGTGTGCCCGCGAAAGGCGCCCCCAGCCCGGCTGCACCGCCCGACCGGTTCACCACCTTCCTGAGCACGCAATGTGCAGGGGACGCCTGCAGGGGGCGCCGCAGAGGGTCGGCGCCACAGCTGCGCCGGGAGATGCTGGGGGCGGAGCTGGACCTTAGGGCGAAGGCTCTGAAGTCCCTGCCTGGACACCAGCCCAGTCAGGAGGGGGACCCGCTCTCTTCACGCTCACACATCCGTCTTCGCTGGTGGTGCCGTCCGGCCTCATTACCTGTCACAGGCCCGCTGCCCTCTAACAGGATCCCTGGCCTAGATTCTCTGATCTTCGCGTGAGACGTGCTTCCAGCCGGACCCCTGCCCACGTGGCCAGAAGGTCAAGAGGAGGGAGAGACCATAGAGATGCCCGAGTCAGGGGCGCTGGCAGGGAGGGGACACTCCCCGTCGCCCGTCCCACAAGCCAGGCCAGTCGCCCCCTGCAGGGTCCGTGTGATCCCCGCATTTGAGGAGGAAGTTGTTATGACACAAAGCCCACCCCGAAAGGTTTTCTGAACGCAAGCTCAGGTGACTGGCCCCTCACTGTGGTGCTCACGCAGCCAGGTCGGTGGCCTCGCCCCTCCTTCCTGGTGTCTGAAGCTGTCACCCGAGCGTGAGCCCCGGCTGCGGCCCCATCGCCGCTCTGAGTGAGGCTGCTGGAGGCGGGGTCAGCAGGAGGAGCCGGCCGGCTGCTCAGCGGGCTGGACGTTGGCTCTGAATCGTGTCTATTCCTGAGGCACTATTTTAATTTCCTTTGGCTCATCCCTGTTTTTGAGTAGGGCGGCAGAATGCATCACAGTGACCCCAAATGTGTGAATTCCACGTTGCTCGGGGATGGTGCCCCGACCCGTGGGGCATAAACAACACACAGCTGCAGACAACGCCGAGTCCTGAGCCATGTGGTTAAGAATCAGTGCTGGAAACCCCACAGACCACAGTAACGTTCATGTGTGTGCCAGGCACTCACCGTTGTTGGGAGTGATTCAGCCAGGCCCAGACCACCATTTCACCACAAAAATCACGTGGCTCATTTCAGGGAAACTGCCGGTGGCAGGGTGCCACCACCACACGTCAGGAGCCCATGCCTGTTCTGTCCACGTAAACTGCCTGAGACCATGGTCCCACCTGAAATGTGTAAGCCGTCGGGATGGGGAGGGGGCGGTGAGGCAAAGGCCCAGCTCGTGGCTACTCGTGGGGCTGCCCGCGTGGTACCACCTTACGGCCCCTCGGGACCAGCCCCTGGCTGGCGGGTTCTGCTCTCTGGCTCCACGCGTGCCGCCCATGACTTCTGTCAATGTTGGGGACAAGAGTAGAGGAGGCAACCTCATCAGGGCTGAATGTGACCAGCAGCCTAAAAATGTAATTATTATGTTGGATGACAGGGTCAGTGTGCAAACCCCCCGAGCAGAGTCAAACAGTGGTTCCGATGTGGTAAAATTTAGTAGGAAAATAGAAGATCCTGCACTCGGACCGAAGGGGGCGACGACACAGATGGACGTGGGAAGTTCAGCAGCAGCAGACGGTGGAAGAGCTTTGTTGGAGGCGAGCGAGCCAGTCCGCGCTCGCAGTCCACGCCTGAGCATCGGACGGCGCCTGCATCTCCCCACGGCCCCGCCCTGCCCTCGCGGTGACTCCACGCTCAACAGCGGGTACACCCGTGTGACGCACAGGGACGGCGCTGGTGGTCGGCGGGCCCTGGCCCCAACCGCCGGAACCTGTGAACAAGGGACTCCACGTGGCAGAAGACGCCCTGCCGACCGGACTAAGGGAACCAACCTTGGGATGGGGACGGTGTCCTGGGCTCTCCGGGTGGTCCGAGGCAATCGTGAGTTCTTCACAGCAGAGACTCTTTCCCGGCTGAGACGGAAGGAGGAGGAGAGACTCGAAGCATGAGGGGGCCCTGGGGACAAGTGGACCTTGAGCGGATGCTCTAACCCATCCACCGAAGGGCGGGGCAGGGCCAGGCCCACAGGCTGCTCGCGACCAGTCAGCCTGTGGCGCGCTGGCCTCCAGCCGGCCCCCAACCCGAACGTCCCGCCGCTGAGAAATGCAGAAAACAGACGACTGCGGCCCCCAGCTGACTCCTGGCTCCTTCTCACCTAGGGCACACCTAGGAACCAACTTTTACCAAAAGATACTCCTCGGAGTGGCGTCTCTTCCCTTTTAGGGGCACATAATGATATGTTAAACCTCATATGACTTCTGCATTTAAGGCTTGAAACCATGTAAATGTAGTACCCTTTTCAATGAGAAAAGCAAATGAGTCGAAAAGCGTGCAGGTGGCCAGCGATCCCAGCCTCTGCCCTTCGATTTAACATTTCAAAGACTTTGTTACCACACATGAAAAGAAAGTGCTACTTTGAGAAAAGCTTAGTGTAACTTAATCAGACTAACATTTTAAACATAGTATCTACAATATTAGCTTACATTTTGCAATAAAAGGATGTGGCTTCCTAGTACCATTTTGTTAGGTGCCACAAGCAAAATAGGACATCTCAGAAACTATCAGCAAATTGATTAATTCATTCAAAAGTAAAAAAAGGAGCCCTAAAAACCAGAACCAGTGGCAAGTGTCTTGGCTGGTGTCAGATAACAGAAAACAAACGCTGAGGGCGAGACAGTGGTCAGCTCCCCGGTGGGACCAGGTGAAGGGGCTGGAAGAGCGGAGGAGGTGCCTGGAAGGCAGAAGGCGTGGCTGCCGGGCCAGCTTCAGTTGTTGGTCCACTCGGCCAAGAGCAGACTTACCCAAGAAAATTAAATATGGGAAAAACATCTTTAGTAATATTACTGAAATACTATCAGCAAGGAAAACTGTGATAAAGTTTTAATTTAAACGAATCACAAGTTTAAGTTTGTTAAAATTAAATCAAAGTGGAAGATTTAAAATCTGTGCTTATTTTCATAAATAGTGAAGCCTGCAAGACAAAGAACATGAATGAAAAGAATGTGTTATGTGCATATATATGTGCATGCATGCATGTGTACTGTGCGTGTTGTGTGTGCATAGATGCATCTGTGTATGCATGTGTCATGTGTGTGGGTGCATGTGTAATGTGCGTGCATGCATATGCATGCATGTGTGTGTTGTGTGTGCATATGTGTATGCACATGGGCACATCCATGTGCTGGAAATTAAGTTCTAAGTGCCCCCCGGGCACTGGGATCACTGCCCTACCTCTGTTCTCTCTGCCCTCGCAAACCCTCCCAGGTGGACAGCACGCCCGCCCCGTAGAGGGGAGCCTGCAGCTCCTCTGAGACGTTGGGCTCCTGCCATTCTCACTCGCTTTGTCCCCACAGGGTGTCCTGAAGGACAGCAAAGCTGCCACAAGACCTTGAATAACACGCTGGTTTTCTAACCTCTCACTGAGCTCGGACTCTTCCGCTGACTGTCTCCGCTCAGCCCTTGTGCTCCCTCAGCTCATCTGAGTCACCGGCACGGTGCCTCGGCCTTTTTAAAATCAGCACCAGAGGGGCTGAAACTCTGGGCTGGCTTCCTTCTGCTTTTGAGTAAGAGCGGTTAGCAAAGAAGCCAGAAGGTTTTTTCCAGAGATTTGTATATAGGTTTGTATTTTTTTCTCTTTTATCTTTTGGTTCCTTTTGCTTCTTTGGAAGCTTGCTTTTACACTTTCTTTTTTATTTACAGACATTATCTTTCTAATCGTTTCAAGAATCACTTTAACTCAGACACTGCATCTATCTCTACAGTATCTATTTTCTGTCCCGCGGGCTCTGGGGGAATCTGTGGCAGGTTCTGTAAAAATCACTGTGTATCTTTTATGGCCACAGGTACTGGCTTCACCATGGTCGTGGCACCTGCACCTGGATCAGAGCGTCTCCTGAGCTCCGGGAGCCCCATAAAACGCCCAGGCGGTCCCTCCGTCTGAACGGCTTTCCTCACGTCCTCCCCACCGGCCCGGCCCCCGCGGGCACCGCTCGCCACCTGCGTGCACAGGTCGCTGTGTGCATTGCCTCCAGACTCCTCCGAGCCTAGCTCTCAGCTGTGCAAGCTCTCTGTCCTTATTTAAATAAAGAATTGCATTTCCCCCCCGCAGCGCCCGGT